TTAAGTTCTTTATCCATTTTGAGTTTATTTTTGTGTATGGTATAAGTTGGTGGTCTAGTTTCATTTTTTTTGCATGTATCTGTCCAATTTTCCCAACGCCATTTATTGAAGAGACTGTCTTGACTCCATTGTATGTTCATGCCTTCTTTGTAAAATATTAATTGAGTGTAGTGGTTTGGGTCGATTTCTGGGATCTCTATTCTATTCCATTAGTCTACATGTCTGTTCATCTGCCAGTACCAGGCAGATTTGAGAATAGTGGCTTTGTAATACAGCTTAATATCTGGTTTTGAGATCCCACCTACTTTGTTCTTCTTTCTCAGGATTGCTGCAGCTATTCAGGGTCTTTTTTTATTCCAAATGAATTTTTGGAGAGTTTTTTCTAGATCTTTGAAATATGCCATTGGTATTTTAATATTATTACTTTTTAAAAATATATTTAAAGTATATATATATATTTATTTTGTTGTCTAATTTTTTGTTAAATGTCTCTTTTTCCACTTAGATTGTTAGTTCTATGAGGAAAAGGACTGGGTCTATTTTATTTTCTGTTCCCATATTATTACTTTTTAAAAATATATTTAAAGTATATATATATATTTATTTATTTGTCTAATTTTTTGTTAAATGTCTCTTTTTCCACTTAGATTGTTAGTTCTATGAGGAAAAGGACTGGGTCTATTTTATTCATTTCTGTTCCCTAATGCTCAGTACACATACTACTCAAATGCTTTTGTTAACAAATAAAATGGTAGTTTGTAATAGTGGATCTGTCAGGCCAACTGATTTTGACTCTAAGTTATATTACAGACTCACTAGCTCTTGTAATCTTGGTGAGTGACTTAACCTGGACTTCAGGTTTCTCATCAGTAAAATTGGGTTGTAATATCTACCATATTGAGTATTATAAAAAATATACTTAAGGTCTAGCATTTTATGGGTGATCAATAAGTAGCAAAGTTATTACGATGTGGCCAAGAATATCAATACTGAAAATACCAATATTTTTAGTGAGTTTTTAAATGAAATACTATAAATGAAAATATCTAGTGACGTTCCTGATTCCAGAGTAGGCATTCAGTTATGTTAGCCTTGACTTTAACTTCTTTCTAATAACATAACTACAAATCAGTAAGCATATGCTAGGTCTAGAGATTGTATAGGACACTTTATATATTTATTTCTGTATAAATATGTAATGAGAGACGCACAAACACATATATACCCCTTTAAGTATTACAAATAACTTGGTCATTAGGTAGGGTTTTTCTCCCAATTAAAGACATAAGGCTTAGAGAGGTCAAGTAACTTGTCCAAGGAACCAGGATTTAAATGTTATCTATTTAGTTTTAAAGCCCTTGTTTTTGTTTTACCACGCTCTCTCTTTACATTTTTGATTAGAGATTATTTGGAATTACCAGATGCTCTCTTTTACAATGCCATTGGTCTTCCAAAAATTGTGATGTCAGTCACATTACTTCTTCTTCTTTTTTTTTTTTTACTTTTTTCCCCCCTTTATTGATTAAGATATTACAAATGTGTCCTTATCCCCCCAATGTCCCCTCATCCCCCTTCTGAAAACCTTTCGAGGTCTGTTTTATGGAAGAGTGGACATTCTGGTAACTATGATAAAGCACTGGAATGCTTTTAGGAGTATCACAGACCTTGGTGAGGTGCAGCTTTGATGGTTCTGAGCAGTGAAAACTCAAGATCCTGTTGGAGAGGGAGAGGAGAAAAGAAAAAGAAATAGAAATAGAAATACATTCTTCTTCCATACTTGACTACAAAACCTTTTGATCCTAAAGTTAGATTTTATTAAAAATTCAATTGTTCAATACATTTTTATTTCAAAAGATTGAGTTTATATGTATGCACATATAGTGAAATATACAGCTCTCATTGACATGTTTTCTTCCACCTCTGCATCTCTTCCCAGAAGTATTTTTTCCATAAAATATGTTACTTATGGTCACCTTTAGTAGTTGTATTATGTTTGATTTAAAAAGTATTTTTAAATTTTTGGGGAAAATAATGTAGATATAGCTCACATACAAAAGACCTTTGCAGTTCTCAATAATTTTTAAGGGCATAAAGGGGTTTTGAGGCCAAATAATTTGAAAATTGCTATAGTATATTTGTTAAGTCACTAGTAATGAATTTGTCTAGCCCATAGTAATATAGAAAAATCCCCATCTATAATAATCTACAATAATAAAAGCATAATATGCAAATAGACCGAACAACCGAACAGCAGAATGACCCTCCAGATGATCATGCTATGACACCCACTGGCGCCAGGCCAGCCAAGGTGGGTGCGATGCGATTGGTTGGGGGCCTGGCCATTGCCCCATGATCTCCCTGCAGGGGGAGGCCCAGGCCACCGGCTGGCAGGGTGATTGACCAATCGGGGTTGGGGGAGGGGGCTCCATGATTGCCCCAAAGAGGGTGACCCAGGCCACTGGTTGGCAGGCTGCAGCGGGTTGGCGGGGCCTCCCTCTGCTGGGAGGAGGCATCCAGGAGCCCCGGCTGGGTGGGCAGGGCCGACCTCTTTTGGGGATTAATCGTGGGGCTCCTGGACTGTGAGAGGATACAGGCCAGGTTGAGGGACCCGCGCTCCTTCCCCCCAACCCCCCACCCTTGAGTGCTTGAATTTCGTGCACCCGGCTTCTAGTGATTTAATAATATTGTTGAGAAAAGTAAGATACAAACTCCACAAGTAATTATAGTTAATGACATAAAGAAAAGTAAACAGTATTGGAGAGAATACGGTAAAATGCAAATAGTCATTACATTAAGGTTATAGTATTTTGAATTATTTCATTTTTGGATTTGCAAAGGTTTTTGTGCTATAATTAGATTCATGTATGGTTAAAAATCAGTTAAAATATAAATGGGGATAATATCTATAATTTCAGAAACTCTGTAGTGATGCTCAAGTTAAAGTGTTTGGGAAATGCTGCCAACTGAAACCTGGAGGAGACAGTTCTTCTTCTTTGGATAGTTCTATTACTTCATCTTCTGATGTAAAAGAACAGTGTCCTAAGTACCAGGTAAGATCACTGATGTCATTTATTCATTCATAAATATTTTTGAGTACCTACAATATGTTGTGCACTATTCTAGGGACTGGGATATAACATGGACTAGTTTTACCCTACTGAAGCTTACCTTATAGTTGGGGAGGCAGATAATTAAACAAGTAAGTTTATGTACTTAGATAAATCTTAGGGTAGGGGAAGTACAGAGAACTATAGGCATAGGCAGCAGGGGTATTTTCTTTACCCTTTATTTTCCACTTCATCATTTTTTGGGCTACCAAAATAATTTCTTATTTTATATACTTTTTAATTATTAAAATATGAAAATAAATATAAAATAATTATACAGTTCAGCTATAGTATGAAATTAAAGTATGATTTGAAGTATACACAATTAGAAATGTGCATTTTTTATTTTTCAAAACTAATATGACACTTAAAAATACAGAATTTGCCCTAGCCGGTTTGGCTTAGTGGATAGAATGTCAGCCTGCAGACCAAAGGGTCCCAGGTTCGATTCTGGTCAAGGGTATGTACTTTGGTTGCAGATTCCTCCCCGGCCTGGGTCCTGGTTGGGACTTGTGCAGGAGGCAACCGATCAGTGTATTTCTATCACATAGATGTTTCTCTCTGTCTTCCCCTCTCTCTTCCACTCTCCGTAAAAATCAATGGAAAAATATCCTCGAGCGAGGATTAACAAACAGAATTAAACAAATAAGTAACTACATAGGAACTTCTCTATAAACTTGCTATATTTTACATAAGATCAGTATTTGGTATCATACTAAGCAAATGTGAATTTATTTGTGTCAGCCAAGCTTGCATGAATGAGTGACAAGTATTTTATATTTAGGGGTACCAAAATGGAATACTGGGCTTTTTAGTTTTTTGTAATTAGATAATTATGTTTGGATGGAAACTGGCCCTTATACCAAATCAATGTGACAGTATTATATGAAGAACTCTGAAGTTATTAAAGTTCAGATATTAGGAGGTACTACATAGTTCCTCCTGTCCTCCCATATTCCTTCTTCACCTTTAGCAGAATACCTTAACAATTTCCTAATAGTGCTGTGCTATAAATACATCTTCACATGTATGCTAATTTGGACATTTTCTAATTTGACCAGTTGTGCAAACTTGCCTTTCTGATATTATGCAGTTAAAAATGAATTTTAGCGAATGGATTCAGATTTTAGAAACCCTAAAGTAGTGAATGATTGTAAGAATTTTTTTAAAACTTCAAATTCTTGATTTTTCCACAATATAATGGTTTTAGTAAAATTTGTGAATAATCATCATTTATTGTATTATTTATGTCATCTTCCTCATTGTGTTATTATATAAATCAGTTAGGAATTGGGTTGGGACACCCTCTATAACAGCAATGTAAGCAAATTAAGGATTTTTTTCCTTACATGACAAGAAGTATGGTATATATGGGTTTCAAGATAACGAAGACTCCCTTATCTTTCTGCCTAGACAGAATTAATGTGTACTTGTTGCCTTGTTGTTCTAATATGGCATCTCCATCTACAGTGACTTCCATTTTTATCTCATTGACCAGGCCTGTAAGTGGATAGTTCTGAAAGCTGCTGCTCTAGCCATTAGTTTCACCCATTGAATATAGAAACCAACCTTAAATCTCCTATTTATAGAGGCAGCTCTGAAATGCAGGGCATGTGCTGCCCTGAAACAAATAGCACTTCAAAATATAAGGAATAGATATTTGATAGTTAATTAGTGATATTTGCCATAGTATCTAAATAATGACCAAATGGATGAGTTCAATTTTTAGCTTTTTTCTGACTCCTATGAAGACAGTTAAAGAAAAATGGAAAGAAATAAGTTTTTGATCAGTTCTTTGAAAACAAGACATTTTAATGTTTCAAATAAGTCCTTTTAAAAAAATAAAAAATAGACACAATTACCCCATTTATGAATGCCTATTTTGTAGGAGTGGTAAAAGTTATTCTACAAGTTCTGTGAATTCCAGTTTTTATAACTTCTCCTGGAGAAACATTGCATATGCATAAGATGTGGTTATTCATGCTCATTTGAGCATTATTTGTAATAGCAAAAATCTAGAAATGACCTAAATACCCATCAGTAAAGGGAGCTGACTTGATAAAGGTTGGTATTTTCATGCAGTAGAATGCTGTACAGCTCTTAAAAGAAATCCATGTATAGCGATATGGTTAGATCTATAAGACATTGTGAAATGAAGAAAATCAAGCTGCACAACAGCATAGAATCACTTAAAAACCATTATGTAGAACTATAGCAAAGAAATTTTTAATAAAAATATTTGAAATAGTCATAAGGTTTTAAATCTTACAATTTTATTAATGTTATGGTTATTGTTTAGGGTTCTCGGTGCTCTTCTGATGCCAATATGCTTGGAGAGATGATGTTTGGCTCAGTAGCAATGAGCTACAAAGGATCCACCTTAAAAATTCATCAGATCCGGTAAGGGATTTTCTAATTTTTTTCTTAATGAATCCATTTAGAATAGTTAATAGTTTTTAAGATAAATTAATTTTCATATAGTCTTCACTCAGATTGAGAATGTCATATTTCTCAATTTATAATTTTCTGTAGGTTTAATTCTGCTTCATGGCTGTTGTGACTGCTGTGAAATCTCTCTGAGTTATACATTTTTTATTTATAATACATTGAGAAGGTTCTTGTGTTCTAGTTTTGATCTCTCTCTGTTCCTCTCTTTTTTTTTCCCCTAGTTCCCCTCCACAGCTTATGCTTAGCAAAGTTTTTACTGCAAGGACTGGCAGCAGCATCTGTGGGAGTCTTAATACGTAAGTGGTTATGGATACAGGGAGAAATGAATTATTTAAGGTGTGCAGAATATGAAACTAACAGACTGCTCCCTTAAGTTTGAAAGTTTATGGAAACCAGATTTCCCCCCCAGCTATGACAGACATAAAACATTGTGTAAATTTAAGGTATATATGGTATTGATTTGATACATTTACATTGCAAAATGGTTACCATCATAGCACTAACACCTTTATCCTATCACATACTTGCATTTATTTTCTTGTGGTAAGGACATTCAAGATGTACTCTCCTAGCAACTTTTGAGTATATAATACAGTATTATTAGCTATAATCTGCATGCTTTACAAGGTGAGGCAAAAGTAGGTTTAATATAATTATTAGTATGGAAAATAATACACTAATAAATAAATAATAATACAAGAATAAACTCTGCTTCCCATACTCACAACTATAAACCAATTTTTGGCATACCCTGTAAATGTGGGTTTTTTCTTGGCTCTCAATTCCGTTCCATTGTTCTATGTGTCTATTTTTATGCTAGTACCATACTGTTGGTTACTGTAGCTTTGTAGTCTAGTTTGAAATTAGGAAGTGTGATGCTTGTAGCTGTGTTCCTCTCAAGATTGCTTTGGGTATTCAGGGTCTTTTGTGGCTCTATACAACTTTTTAAAAAATTTTTTTTTATTGATTTCAGAGAGAAAGGGAAAGGGAGAGAGGGATAAAAACATCAATGATGATAGAGAATCATTGATGGGCTGCCTCCTGCACACCCCCCATTGGAGATGGAACCCCACAACCCAGGCATGTGCCCTGACTGGGAATCGAATTGTGATGACTTCGTTCATGGGTTGATGCTCAACCACTGAGCCACACAGGCTAGGCTCTATGCAAATTTTAAGGTTTTTTAAAAATTTTATTTCTGTGAAAAATGCCACTGGAATTTTGTTAGGGGTTGCATTGAATCTATAGATGGCTTTGGATAATAGGGACATTTTAACAATGTTCATTCTTCTGATTCATGAACATGGGGTATTTTTCCATTTGTTTGTGTCATCTTCAGTTTCTTTCAACAAAGGCTTGTAGTTTTCATTGTAGAGATCATTTACCTCCTTTCTTAAATTTCTTCCTATTTGATTGTTTTTGATGCTATTGTTTTTGAAGCAGAGTGACTTTTCAAAGTGTTTATTTTATATTATTTTTTTCCATCACCATTTGTCCCCTCTATGCTCTCTTCCACCTCCACCCCTGCAATCATACAATCACCTCTCTCTTTCTTTCCAAATTAGTCTAGTGAAAGACTTGTCAACTTTGTGTATCTCTTCAGAAAACCAGCTCTTAGTTTTATTGATATTTTCTATTATTTTTCTGGTCTCTTTTATTTATTTCCCCTCTGATTTTCGTTAATAACAGGTGCTTGAATAACGTCATTTTGGTCAATGTTGTTTTACTATAGCATTGATGAGATTCTGTAAGAACTGAACTCTTGTTTCTATCAATTAGCCTGTGGTAAAATTGGTTTCATTGTAAATCCTTTTGCTTAAATAAAGTTGCAGAACTTATTGAAGTTAAGTGGATACTTACTGTGTTTCCTTACTTTTGATAACTTTTGGACATAATTTGTTATTTTCTAGTTCCTTGAGGTGTACAGTGAAATTGTTTATTTGAGATCTTTCTTGCTTTTTAATATAGACATTTTTTTTGCTATAAACTTTCCTCTTAGAACTGCTTTTGCAGCATCCCATGTTTTGATATGCATACTTTCATATTCATTTGTTTCAAGATATTTCTTGATATTCTTTTGTATTTCTTTTGTGATACATTGGTTGTTTAGGAGAATTTTTTAAAATCTCCACATATTTGTGAATTTTCCAGCTTTCATTCTATTTTTTATTTCCAGTTTTCATCTACTAAGGTCAGAAAAGATACTTGGTGTGATGCCAGTCTTCTAAAATTGGCTGAGACGTGTTTTGTGACTTATCATGTGACCTGTTCTGGAGAGTGTTTCGTGTGTGCTTGACAAGAACGTGTTTTCCACTGCTATTGAATGGAATATGCTGTATGTGTCTGTTAGTGCCATTTAGTCTAAAGCGTGGTTCAGGTCTGTATTTCTTGTTGGTTTTCTGTCTGGATCATCTATCCAGTATTGAGAGGTATTGAAATCCTCTATTGCATTGTTGTCTATTTCTTCCTTTGGATCTGATTGTATTTGCTTAATACGTTTAGATATTCTGATGTTATGATAGCTATATCTTCTTGATGAATTGACTCCTTTTTGTATGACCATCTTTGTTTCTTTTTACCGTTTTTTGGTAAACAAAAACGTTTTGTTTTGTTTGACATAAATACAGCTACCCCTGCTCTCTTTTGGTTTCCACTTGCATAGAATATCTTTTTCTACCCCACCACCTTGAGCCTATGTGTGTCCCTACAGCTGAAGTGAATCTCTTGTAGGCAGCATATTATTGGGTCTTGTTTTTTTAACCCATCCAGCCACTCTGTGTTTGGAGGCCAGATTGCTTCCTCATTTGAGTTTAGTTGAAGAACAGGAAATGTGATTTCTCTTTCTCTAATTTGCTTGGAGCTATATCTGGAAGTAAAATGTTGAATGCATTTCCATGTTACGTTGATATGCTGATTTTCCATTTTGCAGTGCATGTGGAGGTTGTGCTCTTCAGTTTTTAGATCCCCCTGCACGTTAACCCTGCAATTAGGAGTGACCTAGGCCAGCCATATGGTGGGGCACAAGGATATTACAAGTTATTATTACCAAGATTAGAATAGTGAAGCTGATCTATTATATAAAAAGCCTGTGGTTGTCATGCCGTAACGTCCGATCAGCAGGAGGCTGCGTGCGTGGGGTGGGCGGGGCTGTGTGTGGCGAGGTACGCACAGGTGGGCGGGGACTTGACTGGAGGTGCGGGTAGGTTTCTGGGTCCCGCCGGGCGGTGGGCGGGTTTCTGGGTGTCGCCTCCTGTGGCGGTGGCGGCCGCGGGACTCTTTCTGGGTCCTGCTGAGCCGCAGGACTCTGGGTCATGGGTCTCATGCGATTTCGTGCGCTGGGCCCTTAGTATTAGGATAATGGGCTACATGCCAGAACCTATTAATGAAGGACTAGGGCTAGCACGAAGTGGTAGTGGACCCCAGGGAGGGATTTTGCAGGTTCCAGATCAGAAACCATCGGGGCACCCAAAGTCAAAAGCAGCAAGAGATAGCCAGAAGCCAACTCTGAACGAGGGACATTCTTAAGAGCTTCTATTTATTGTCAATACTTTAAAAAGACTTAACTTTTAGGAAAGAAAGGGAAAGATTTTTTTTTATACTATCATTAGAGGCCCGGTGCATGAAATTCATGCATGGGTAGGGTCTCTAGGCCTGACCAGTGATCAGGGCCGATGGGGGCCTTCCAGCTGCCAGCTGAGGCCTTCCTTCATTCTTCGCCGCCCCCTGGTGGTCAGCGCATGTCATAGCGAGCAGTAGAACTCCCGAGGGGACATTTTGCATATTAGCCTTTTATATATAGAGAGAGATGGATGCCAAAGGTACTAATTTTTAAGAGTTTAATACTAAAGTAGAAATTAGAGATCCTACATTGTCATGACTGACTTTAACTCTAATTCCCTCAGTTCCTATATATTTTCTAAGTTCTAATTGATATTTCTTAAAATACCAAAGAACAATACTTTGAATTAAATGCATAAAGTGATTTTATTTTTGTTGTTTGAATAATTTACTAAAAGAAGTAATATAGGCCGTTTATAATATGTGGACTAGAGATACTTTTTGGATATTTGGTTGATTCTCTTTTTTCATTTTCTTTTTTAATCCTGACAGAAGTTTAGAAAATATTTTCAGGGTCAAAATGTGAGAGGAAAGATTGTAATTTAAATTGGGTCAGCAATATTTTTCTCTAAAGGTCCAGATAGTAAATATTTTTGTTTTTGTGAGCCAGATAGTATGTTGTAATTTCTCAGCTCTGCAATTGTAGCATTAAAACAGCCATATGCAATGCATAAATGAATGGATGTGGCTGTGTTCCATTAAAACTTTATTTACAAAATCAGGCAGCAGGCTGGAATTAACCTTAGGATGATTAAAATTATTAGTTTGTTTCTAGTACTAATAGGGAAATTTAAAAAACTGTTACACACTAAAATTTCATTGGGATATTCAAGGAAGGGCCATTAGGAGCATATAATGAATTTGGAGTTTATATTTTTTTCTTCTTCCCTTTAGGTTGCAAGATAGTCTTGAATTCATCAATCAGGACAACAGTACATTAAAGGCTGACAGTAACACAGTTATTAATGGATTACTTGGAAATATAGGTAAATAAGTGGTTCCTTTGGTTTTGTAAGTTTTAAAAATGTGAACAGTATAACAGGGATATGTAGTTTTTTCTTGTTAATGTAGATCTTTTATAAGACCAAAGAGTTTCAAATACTAGAAGTGGAAAAGGCTTTTAAATTATAAGTATATATTATATCTTTATTATTTGGAAAATATAATTTTCATATATTTGAGCATAATGTTTATTTTGTATCTATCAAACTTGTTTTTAAGTTTGATGTATCTTTGAAAAACCATCTGAGGAAATCTGGTATTAATTATATTTTCTCCTTTCTCTCTTCCCTAACAATAAAAGTTAATTTTGAATGGTACTCATTTTGACCTGTAATTCAGATGAGAAGATATTCAAAGTTGATGTTCCTTAAAAGATTTATTGGAGTAGCAACTTATTTAATAATTTGGTTAGTTGATTGTTATAATTATTTAAGTTAAACATTGCAAAGTGACAAATTGTTTCTAACATTTCTAGTCACTTGCTTTAGCCTAGAAAACAACTAAATTGCTGCTGACCCTATTTCCAGTGAATAGAGAACTGCAGTGTGTCAGAGTAGACAGCAGTTAGAGTAGAATGAATATTTCTCTCTTCCCTGTTTAGTGATAATTTTTATTTATAATTAATTTAAATAAATATGTATTAGTTATATGAATTGGTAGAAAATATTTTTTTCTTCCAACTTGAACAGTATAACATTCTATAATTCATTCAAATGAGCAACCATTTATTAAGCACCCACTGTGGGATATAGTGTCAGGCATGCACTTCACAAAGTGTGTATATTTTATAGAAAAAAAGTTCTGCTTTTTCCTAATTTGATTATTTCTTTGGCTTTAACAAAGTAAAGATGTGACAAGGAAATGATTGAATCTTTTTCTTTATAATTGACACTTTTCAAAGCTCAAAGGGCTTATTAAAAGCTATATATTTTACTAATACAAATTCATTATCACTAGTATAAAGGTAATTATACTAAATACAATAGGTGCTAGATATACTCATCTTCTCTGTTATAGAATAGGAAATTTATTTAACAGAGTACAGACTTTAAATGTTGAACAGCTTTTATTTGTATATTCTGACTGTGAATCAAGAATATTTGAGCAGCATTTCTTATTTTCTTTATATTTCCCATTAATTAACAAATACTTATCAAGTACTATTTTATGCCAAGCACTCTGCTAGGCCATGAGGATATAGTAGTAAACCAGACATAGTTTCTACCTCAGTGGATTTACAGTTCGTGGGAGTCAGCATCAAATGCGCTGTAAGGTAATATAAGATAGTATGGATTGCATTAAGCAACAGGAAGGCTTTTGGTGGCGTATGTAAACAGTTTCAGAATTGAGGAGAGACTCAGAAGTTAGTCTCTTTTCCAAGATATAAGCAGTGGTTCTCAAATTTTTGGTCTTGGGATCCTTTTAAACACTTAGAAATTATTGAGGACCACAGAGAATTTTTGTTTATATTGGTCACATTTGTTGATATATATTGTGTTAGAAACTAAAACAGAAAATTTCAAAATATTTATTTAGTAATTCATTAAAAAATAATACTAATAACCGTTTTCATGTTAATGTAAATAACATGTTTTTAAATAACTATTTTCCAAGACAAAAATAATTGAGTTAGAAGAGTGGCATTGTTTTACATTTTTGTAAATCTTCTAAATGTCTGACTTACTAGAAGACACCTAGATTCTCATATCTGCTTCTGTATTCAGTCTCTTGTGATATGTTGATTTGGTTGAAGTGCATTAAAAAAATCCAGTCTCAAAAAAAAAACATGTAGTTGGAATGGGAAGTACTCACCAACCCTCTGAAAGTGTTCCAGGGACTTCCTAGGGGCCTTTAGACCACATTTTAAGAACTATGGAACTATAGGATTAGATATATGGTGAGAAGGTAGAAGAGTTTTGACTGTGTTTAAATGTTGATGGAAAAGGAGAATGAGATTAGAGATAAAGGTGATATTTGGCCAAATAAGATTTTTGAAGGTCCTGGCTGATTTAGAAAAGTTAGTTTTGGAAGGGAGGTAAGGAAGGACCTCTCAGGATTTTTCACTGAATAAGTCCCTAGCACATAGTAAGGTTTGAATAATGTTACCTATTATTACTGCTCAGGCATGAAGGGGGCAAGAATAGGTGAGAATTTGATTAAGTTTGGAGGTAGGTTGGTAGGAAAAGATGAGTTCTCATCTGGTGCATTCTGTGTGTGCCTACATACATATGCGTCTCATATGACTGTAGGAGACAGTCGTATGCTGAGACTAAGGAAGAGGCAGGCAGGGGAGGAGTTTAAAGAGAGCAGATACATTTTGAAGGGAGAACTGAAGAAAGCTGAACAATGAAACATGAAAGAATTGTTGCATATGTACTATAATTGTAGAAATTTTTGTTATAGAAAAATATCTGTTAGCAATTTGAAAGATACATTTGTCACTTTTTAGATAGAAAGTTCCCTATTCTATCCTAGGTAAATCTCCTGGGTGACTATTTAGGCCATCTTGATTAAGAGTAACAGGTGCCCTGTCCTACGAAACTGGAGGTCACAGTTCGATTCCCAGTCAGGGCACATACCCGGATTGCGGGATCGATCCCCAGTGTGGGGCGTGCAGGAGGCAGGATCAGTGATCCTCTCTCATCATTGATGTTTCTGTCTCTTTCTCCCTCTCCCTTCCTTTCTGAAATCAATAAGAAAATATATTTTTTAAAAAGAGTAACTTAACAGGTAACCCAGCTGCTTGCTTCCAGGCTGTAAATGTTGCTCTTTTTGGGTCTTTTAGACTATAATTTTCTCTCGGTCAAGTCTGTAGTTGCCAAGGTCTTTGAACAGCCTGGAGTCTGGCCCTGACTGACAGGCTGTATTGGTGGCCTGCTTCCTTAGTGGCTGACTCCTCCTAGTCTAGGAAGTTTGGTTTCTTCCATTATGTTGTAATTTATTACCAGGTTAGAAAAAACTATTTTTATACTTAATTTGTCAATAAATTCCTTTTCTGTATTTGTTCTTTGTTGTATGTGTTGTGTTTTGTTTTCTAAGCCAAGCATTTAGGTGGTTTCTCCTTACTGCCATTGCAAGATAACTGTCATTTTAAAACTGACTTTTAAAAAGATAAATTTATTTAGCAAGTGCCAACTTACACAGATAACATTACTGTGCTTTTTTGGCTCTTTAAAAATATTTTTTAGGTGGTGAACACAATGCAATATATAGATCATGCATCATAGAAATGTACACTTGAAACCTGTATGACCTTATTAACCAATGTCACCCCAACAAATTAAAAAAAGGTTGTTTTATATTAGAAAGCATTGAACATTTAAAATAATTTTTACCTTATGTAGTAGTAGTTTTTTTATTTTATTTTATACAAATTTATTAGTAAATGGGCGTGAAATTATGTTTGCCATGACCAGAGGAAAACCATCCTGTTTCAAAAAAGGGAAGCCAACTAGAATTATTTAAACTTAGTTTAAAAGTTTCTATTCATATATGTTGGTCTGCTTTTGTGCTGCTTTAGCTCACCTTTTATTCCTGATGCACTGCAGCTTCTCTAACAGCTCTCTTTCACATGTATTTTACATTTTTGCCATGTAGGTCTTTCACAGTTCTGCAGCCCCAGGCGGGCATTCTCTGAACAGGGTCCGCTCCGCCTGATCAGGAGCGCCTCTTTCTTTGCAGGTTTGCGATGTGCTGTGTGGGTAGACTAGTTGGTGTGACCCAGTGGCTAGAATCTGTAGTTAAGCTGTGGAAACAAGAGAGTAAATAAATATAGTTATAGAGCAGTGTTTCTCAACCTTCCTAATGCCGTGACCCTTTAATACAATTCCTCATGTTGTGGTGACCCCCAATTTCATTGTTACAAATTGAACATAATTAAAGCATAGTGATTAATTACAAAAACAATATGTAATTATATATGTGTTTTCTGATGGTCTTAGACGACCCCTGTGAAAGGGTCGTTCGACCCCCATAGGGGTCGCGACCCACAGGTTGAGAACCGCTGTTACAGAGGGTTTGGTTAAGAAAATATTGCTTAGAAAGTGCAAGAACATAATTTATTCCTACTGAATATGTTCTTGAAGTTTCCAGAAACTTTTATCAGTGGAATTGACATTGTTATGAATTTCAGTGTTTGTCACTTATTATCTCATTATGTAATAATGACTCTTTAACTTTAGAATTCCAAACCAAAATTTAGTATAAATATTATAACTCAGTTAGAATTTCTAATGTGATACTATCTTGTTTCCATGGCTGAGTAGCTTTTGTACCATAGTTCACCAATTGCAGAAAATATCATATCTTATTATTATTGTAAAACTTCTGATCTGCACTAATTCATAAGAATGAATTCTCTTGGAGCTAAGATTTAGATGAACAAGCATCATTATAATTGTTCTGTAGAAGGCATATGAGCATATTTGTTTATATCATTTTAGAGTGAGTGTGTTCATGTTTCAGTATTCAGGAAATTGTATTTGATTTCTTACTTTAATTAATATTTATTTTCCATACAAATATGAGATATGAACAGTACATATTTGTTATAGAAAATTTGGGAAATGTGATAATAGGCAAAAAATGTTAACCATCTGTCAGTCAGGAATAAGCTCACCCCCCCTTTTTTTTTAAACAAAGTTGGGACCATACTATTCAAATAGTTTTCTTAAAATTTTTATTGTGCATATTTTTAAACATAAATTGTTACAGGCAGAATAATAGAGTGAATTATCATATGCCCAGCAGTCACCATTCTTACTGTTCAGTAGCTTCCTTTTATAAAATTTAATACTATGTTGTGAATATCTTGCTATGTCGTTGAATATGCCTCTAAAATACTTTAGTCACCCTTGCTTTATATATTATAGATTTTTTTCATATTATATGTCAAATCATTAGATAGATCTTAAAGCTTGTTCAGCTGAGTAATAGCTCTCGGTGTTGGGTTTGTGCCATGCTATTGAAAAAATAAAGGAATGCAATGAGATGAGCATGATTGAGTTTGCTATTTAAAAGGAACATTGTCAATTTGAATAGCAGTATATTTTATAACTGACAGTTTTGTCTTGATTCACAGTTCACAGCAACCCAATGGACATGCCTGGAAGAGAGTTGAATGAGGACAGAGACAGTGGCATAGCACGCTCTGGTAATGCCAGGTTTATGTATTAACTCAGTTTTTTTATGAGATAATTGTTAGCTGACATTGATTTTCTTTTTTATCTTTGCCTTTATTCTTTAATTTTATGTATATAGCTTGTTATATTGATATTACAAGAGAATTTTAGAAACAGTAGAGAGAAATATATTAAATTTAAAATATTTCACTTATATTATTAAACGTGCCTGGTGGAGCATGGCCTAGATTAAGCATGTCAAACTCAAAGGCTAACATGGGCCAAATAAACAAGGTTTAAGTTTATGTGGGCCTCAAAAAAAACCCCAAAAGCTTCAATTGTCATAGAAACATAGGTTTATTTCAATAGAGACATGCTGAATGCAAAGGGTTGAAATAAAAGTCATCGTTAACGTAAAATAATAGAACATTCTAATTAAAATTAATATTTTTTCTTGAACATTAACTTACCAGACACTGAATATAACTGCACAGATTAATAAGCGTAACGCAAATAAACCTATTTTTCTTGTTCTCCAAAAGCGAAATATTTCCTGTTGTGCACACCAAACAAGTCAGTACAATACTAATGATGTGGCAGTTGGCTGCTAAAATATTCGCTGCTAGTATTAGTGGATAGAAATAGTGCACTTGCGCTGTGTAAGGGAAATGAATGCAACATAAATATAGTAATCAGTCATTAGAGAACGTTGTAGTCGTTATTAATAATTAGGTATAACAAGATGTAAAAATTAAGAAATTTTTATTGAAACATTTTTCACATACCGTTATATTGGCTGGGCCACAAAAATATTCATTGTAGGCCGTGAGTTTGACATGCTTGGCCTAGAGATCTATGTACATTAGCTTAGGCTTAGCCGTACAAGAAAAAAAGCTTTGCTCAAGAGACTGCTTAGATAGTATAGTAGAAAAACACATTGCTTATATCTGCTTGCTCCTAACTAGAGTTTAAATGGTTAGACTATCTCTTGCCCAGAATGACTTAAGCATTTTGAACTAATGTTACACTTTTTTTTCCCCCCAAATGTAGACTCTCCCAAAATTTGTCTCACAAACTTTTGTTGAAACAAGGTGAGGCTTAAAAAAAAAAAAAGCCCAGAGTCTACCTTAAGGAGCAGAGTCTAATGAGAGAACAGTCAGGACAAATCTGTAATGGTTCATTATGTGATGAATTCTGTGCTAGCCCCAGATAAAGGGAACCTAACAGCCTGGGCAAGGGACAGAGGGATAATACTTGAATTATGTCTTGAAAAATAATTAGCATTATCCAGGCAAAGGCATGGAAGAAGGATATTCCATTTAAAAGGAAAAATGTCTGTCAGGGCTCAGAGATCAGCATAAGTGAAAGAAGGAATAATCTTAGGCTTTAAGTTATTGTTAGGTGTGAGAAACTTTAATCACTGTGGTAATCCATGTGTGTCGTCACATATGTCCCTTCTATCCAAATTGATTACAATTCAATTTTGAGTGTAGATGGGAAGTCCATACTTAACCATATATTGTAATCCCTACATTTGCATTAGAAAAATGAAGTTTCAAAAAAATTTTCAGATGCCTGAACACTGATTTAGCCTAGAAAAAGTGTAAGGCATCTGTATTTGAGAAACAAAACAACATGAAAAACTTCAACACCTAATTCTGATGGGTAGGTAGAGCTGAGAAACACTAATCTAATATGAAAAGTCTACATCTTTCAAATAATCTCACCTTTCATTTCAAATTCTATATTTTTGTTCTTTGGAACTAATCGAGAGTATATTTCTCTTAATACATTTGCTTCTATATTATATAGTTTTTTCTTCTGTGGCTGTAATTTAACTCTTATTATTTTATCCAGCATTTTGGAGGTGAGAAATTCATATCTCTATACTTCATTTTCTTCAGTTATAAATTGAAGGGACTAGCTAGATTGATCCGTAAGGCTTCTTCAAGCCATTAAATTCAAATATGCCATTTAAGTTAATGGTGTATTTTCTTTTTTCTAATAGGGTTATTTTTAATTTCAGAATTTAGTAAAACATAGCTTTTCAAAATTTAGAGTAGCATTTGTTTTTTCACTGAACCCATACCTACCTACATTTGTTATACATACCCAGTCTTATATTAGTTTACAAAGTTTTGTAATACCAATTGATAAAATGTGATCTTTCAAGAAAGGAATTAATTCATTGGTGGTTCAGATGTTTGCATGGTAGTTAAAGCCTCTCCCCTTTATCAGAGAATTTGTCAGAAAATTCAGATAAACAAATCTTTATAAGGTAAATCTCTTAGTTTTCAGTCCTGATATCCAACATGACATATCATGTGGCATGTACCTTTTCATAGATGATCATAACAACTTCCTGTTTTAGATTACTTTATAAATTTTCAGTATGTGGTTATAATCATAAAGATGGAAATCTAAAAATATTGCTAAACGAAAAGCAAGCCCTTAATGTCTTTTTCTCTGTGGATCAAGTGGGAAGGAGGGGATCATTCCTAGCCCAAGGAAAAATAGAGTTGTAGTTTATTACACCTAGGCAAGAAATAGAACTTTTAGATTGCAGAAAAGGGTTTTAAGAAGAGAATAATCCCCAGTTATGGGATTATAGCAATTATAATCAGAATGGCCTCTATTGGAATGTGTCTGTCAACCATTAGGATGCTCTAGAGAGCAGGTGATAGGATTTACCTCTTTTTTTGGAACTTGGTAGGTATAGTCGAGACTCTTATTAAAAGTGGCCAAACATTTACAAGCTGGACTATGCACAAGTTATCCATGAGTACTTTTAAGTGACATCTTTAAATGACATTTAGACACTTACTTTCAAATACAGTTTTTGTTCTTAAAATCCAACTACAGCATTAAAATTGAATTACATCATATTTGTTTTAATTTAAGGACTAAGGGTTCAGCTAAGCTAGAGGGTAGTCTCATGGCCAAAGAAATAAGAGATAATGCTTTGTTTCACAGTAGCATTTTCTTCCGGGGTGGGGCTGGGGATAAGCATGTCAAGAGGGATTGTCTCAGAGTCTCTTGCCAACACACTTAAAATATGATTTTTCTCTTCTGAGTCCTTGCTCCAACAGTTATGTTATTAAATGAAAATTTTAGAGACTCATGAAGCAAAATGGAAAATTTGAGTCACTGCTCTTAAATTTGTTAAAAAGAAATTTGTCCTTTTGCTTAGTTGTAATTGTCTTACACATTATACTTGTTCTTATTCTGATTTGACAGCATCTCTCAGCAGCTTGCTTATTACGCCATTTCCCTCCCCAAATTCCTCACTTACCCGAAGTTGTGCCAGCAGCTACCAGAGACGTTGGCGACGCAGCCAAACAACAAGTTTGGAGAATGGGGTATTTCCTAGATGGTAAGTTGGAACCTTCAATTTATATAAATAAGATTGAATAGCTCTTTAAACATACTTTTGTATGGTTTTTAGAGACTGGACTCACATTTTCTGTATTTTAAGTTTGGAACTTAAAACTTTTTAAAATGTATCTTTATTGTTGGGAGTATTACAGATGTTTCCCCTTTTCTCCACTCATTGTACCCCCATTTGGCTCCAGGCCTTTACTACACTATTGTTGGTATCTATGGGCTGTGCATATATGCATATAAGTTCTTTGGTTAATCTCTTCCCGCCACCCCTTCTTCCCCTTCCCTCTGAGATTTGTCAGTCTGTTACATGCTTCCATGTTTCTGGATCTATTTTTGTCTGTCAGTTTATTTTGTTCATTAGATTCCCCATATAAGTGAGATCATGTGATATTTGTCTTTCTCTGCCTGGCTTATTTTACTTCCCATGATAATCTCCAGGTTCCTCCATGCTGGCTCAAAGGGTAAGAGATCCTTCTTTTTTTTTTTACAGCTGCATAGTATTCTGTTGTGTAAATGTACATCTTTTTTATCCACTCATGTACTGATGGGCACTTGGACTGTTTCCAGATCTTAGCTATTGTAAATAACTGTGAGCTATTGTAAATTGCCGTGAGCATAGGGATGTAGGTATTCTTTCTGATTGGTGTTTCTGTCTTTTTAGGGTATATTCCTAGAAGTGGGATCACTGGGCCAAATGGCAGTTCCCTTTTTAATTTTTTGAGGAAGCTCCATACTGTTTTCCATAGTGGCTACGCCAGTCTGCATTCCCACCAGCAGAGTCCAAGGGTTCCTTTTTCTCCTCATCCTTGCCAGCACTTATTGTTTGTATATTTATTGATGGTAGCCATTCTGGCAGGTATGAGATGATACCTCTTTGTAGTTTTAATTGGCATCTCAGATGATGAGTGAAGTTCACTTTTTAATTGGATTGTTTGTCTTCCTTTTGTTGAGTTGTATGACTTCTTTATTTATTTTGGAGATTAATCCCTTATCAGATGTATCATTGATAAGATGAGTCCCATATAGTAGATTTTCTTTTCATTTTGTTGATGGTTTCTTTTGCTGTGAAGAAACTTTTTAGTTTGATGTAGTCCCATTTGCTTATTCTTTTCCTCTATTTCTCTTGCCCTACTAGATGTATTGGTGAAAATTCTGCTACATGAGATGTCTAAGATTTTGCTGCCTGTTTTCTCCTAGGGTTTTTATGGTTTCATAACTTAAATATTTAAGTCTTTTATCCATTTTGAATTTGTTCTTGTCAATGGTATAAGTTGGTGGTCTAGTTTCTTTCTTTCTTTTCTTTTTTTTTTTTTTTGCATGTTGCTATCTAATTTTCCCAGCACCAATTACTGAAGAAACAGTCTTTACTCCAGTGTATGCCTTTGCCAAATATTAATTGAGTGTAATGGCTTGAGTTGATTTCTGGGTTCTCTAGTCTGTTCTATTGATCTATATGCCTGTTCTTGTGCCAGTACCAGCCTGCTTTGATTACAGTGGCTTTGTAGTATAGTATGATATCAGGTGTTGTGCTTCCTCCAACTTTGTTGTTCTTTCTCAAGATTGCTACGGCTATTTGGGGTCTTTCTTGATGCCATATTAATTTTTGGAGTATTGGTTCTAGATCTGTTAAATATGCCATTGATATTTTAATAGGGATTGTGTTGAGTCTATAGATGGCTTTGGGTAGTATGGACATTTTAATGATGTTAATTCTTCCAGCCCATGAACATGGTATATGCTTCCACTTGTTTATATCTTCCTCTGTTTCTTTTTTTGGTGTCCTATAGGTTTTCTTAGTACAGGTCTTTTACTTCCTTGGTTAAGTTTATTCCTGGGTATCTTAATTTTTTTGTTGGAAAGGTAAATGGGATTGTTTTTTTAGTTTCTCTTTCTGAGAGTTCACTATTGGTGTATAAAATGCTATAAATTTCTGGATGTTAATTTTGTATCCTGCTACTTTGCCGAATTCCTTTGTTAAATCTAGTAGTTTCTTGGTAGAGTCTTTAGGGTTTTCTATGTACAGTATCATGTCATCTGTGAATAATGACAGTTTTACTTCCTCCTTTCCAATTTGGATGCCTTTTATTTCTTTTTCTTGTCTGACATCTGTAGCTAAGACTTCCAGCACTATGTTGAATAAGAGTGGTGAAAGCAGACATCCCTGTCTTATACCTGTTTTTAGAGTTTTTGTTTTAGTTTTTGCTCATTGAGTATGATGTTAGATGTAGATTTGTCATATATGGCTTTTATTATGTTGATGTATGATCCTTTTATCCCCATTTTTTTCAAAAATGGGTCCCAGGCCAACGTGACTCAATGGTTGAGCATCAACCTATGAACCAGGAGGTCACAGTTTGATTCCCGGTCAGGGCACATGCGTGGGTTGTGGGCTCAGTCCCCAGTCTGGGGCATGCAGGAGGCAGCCAATCAATTATTCTCTCTCATCATTGATGTTTGTCTCTTTCTCTCTCTCTCTTCCTCTCTGAAATCAATAAAAATATATTTTTTAAAATTGGTGCTGGATTTTGTCGAATGCTTTTTCTACTTCTGTTGATAACGATGATGTGATTTTTATCTTTCTTTTTGTTTATCACATTTATTAATTTAAGAATGTTGTACCAACCTTTGCCAGGGCTGATCAGCAGACCTTGAGCAATGGATGAATGATTACACTGACACAGGTTTGCTGTGAAAGAGAGGGCTAAGGGACTGCTTGGCTAAAGGAACCAGACAGCCTCGATCGCCTGCCTCTTCAGGCTTTTATTGTAACAGCAGTTTGAGATATAAAGTTTATCTTTTAGATACAATCAGTAGGGTAAGTAATCTTGGGAGGACGCATGTGTCTGCAATATCCTTTAAGCAAGGACACCTAAAGATTAAGCATAAAGATTCTGGTAAATACCTGAGGGTCTGCACATACACAAACTTGTTTGGAAAGGTCAAGGAGCAATTAGGGACAGCTGCCTTTGGCCAACTCCCCTAAGTCAGAATTCTGATAAAGAGTGGCGGGCCGCCTTCAGCCAACTTCCCTTTTCGGAATTTCATCCTTACAAACTTTTCAACCAAGTCTTCTGTGCTCCCCCCCACCAACCTTGCATCCCTCAAATAAATCCCACTTGGTCGTGGTGTATGTTCTTTTTGATATATTGCTGGATCTGATATGCTAATATTTTGTTGAGGATTTTAGCATCTATGTTCATCAGGGATATTGGCCTGTAATTTTCTTTCTTTGTATTGTCTATCTGGTTTTGGAATTAGGATAATGCTGGCCTAGTAAAATGAGCTTTGAAATCTTCCTTCCTCTTGAATTATTTGGAATAGTTTGAGGAGGATATAGGTGGTGTTCTTTGAATGTTTGATAAAATTCCCCGGTGAAGCGGTCTGGTCCAGGACTTTTGTTTGCTTGAACTTTTTTCACCACTGCTTGAATTTCTTTAGTTGTTACTGATCTGTTCGGGTTTTCTGATTCTTTCTGATTGAATTTTTGAAGATTGTATGTTTCTAGGTATTTGTCCATTTCACCCACGTTGTCCAATTTTTTTGGCATATAGTTGTTCATAGTATTTTTTTTTTACAATCCTTTGTATTTCTGTGGTGTCAGTTGTTACTTCACATCTTTTATTTCCAGTTTTATTTATTTGAGTCTTCTCTCTTTGCTTCTTGATGAGTCTGGCTAAAGGGTCCTCAATCTTGTTTATCTTTTCAAAGTATCAGCTCTTGGTTTTATTGATCTTTTGTATTATTTTTAAACCTATTGCATCTTTTTTTTTTATTGTGGTAAAGTATGTATGCATAACATAAAATTTACCATTTTAACCATTATTAGATATATAGTTCAGTGGCATTAAGTACCTCCACATTGTTGTGCAACTATTCATATTCATGTCGAGAAATTATCTCTCCAAACTAAAACTCTATCCATTAAACAATAATTAACCCCCATTCCTCCTTCCTCTTTGTCCCTGGAAATCACCACTCTATTTTTTGTCTCTATGAATTTGACTATTCTAGATACTTCATATAATTGGAATCATATAATATTTGTCCTTTTATGTCTAGCTTATTTTGCTTAGCATGTCTTCAGGGTTCATCCATGTTGTAGCATGAATCAACATTTTATTTTTTATCTGAATAATAGTCCATTATATGTATATACCACATTTTGTTTATTCATATTCATCTGTTGATAGATATTTGGGTTGTTTTCATTTTTTGGCTGTTGTGAATAATGCTGATATGGACATGGCCATGTGTACAAATACTAGTTCGAGTCCCTGCTTTCATTTCTTTTTGGTCTATACCCAGATATAGAATTGCTGGATTGTAAGTTTTGAGGAATCACCATAATGTTTTCCATAGTGGCTGCACCATTTTGCATTTCCACCAGAAAAGCACAAGAGTTTTAATTTCTCTACATCAAGCATGTCACCTCAAAGGCTAACATGGGCCAAATAAACAAGGTTTAAGTTTATGTGGGCCACAAAAAAACAAAAGCTTCAATACTCATAGAAATGTAGTTTTATTTCGATAGAGCCATGCTGAATATAAAAGGGCTGAAATAAATGAGTAATCGTTAACATAAAACAATAGAACATTTTAATAAAAATTAATATTTTTTCTCAAACATGAACTTACCAGAAACTGAATAACCACAGATTAATAAGTGTAACACAAATAAACCTATTTTTCTTGTTCTCTGAAAGCGAATATTTCCTGTTGTGCACACCAAACAAGTCAGTAGAAGACTAATGATGTGGCAATCGGCTGCTAAAATATTCGCTGCTAGTATTAGTGGAGAGAAATGGTGCGTCTATGTGTAAGGCGCAAAAGGGAAATGAATGCAACACGATTATAGTAATTAGTCATTAGTGAACGTTATAGTTTGTTATTAATAATTATGTATAACAGGATATTGTAAAAATTAAGTTACGAAATTTTTATTAAAATGTTTCTCACATACCATTATATTGGCTGGGCCGCAAAAATATTCGTTGTGGGCCGTGAGTTTGACATGCTTGCTCTACATCATTGCCAATTGTTATTTTCCTTTTTTATTTTATTTTATCACAGCCATCCTAATAGGTGTGAAGTAGTATCTCATTATGGTTTTGATTTGAATTTCTGTAATGTCTAGTGGTGTTGAACATGTTTTCATGTGCTTATTGGCCATGTGTATGTCTTCTTTGGAGAAATGTCTGTTCAAGTGTTTTGCCCATTTTAAAGTCAGGTTATTTGTTTTTTTTTTGTTGTTGTTGAGTTGTAGGAATTATTTATATATTCTAGATAACAATCTCTTATCATACAAATGCTTTGCAGATATTTTCTCCCATTCCACGGGTTGCCGTTTTATTCCTTTTTAAATTTTTTTAAATCTATTTTCTTAGGGAGAGAGAGAGAGAAACATTGATGTGAGAGAGAAACATCTATTCAGTTGCCCATACCCCGACCGAAAATCAAATTGGTGACCTTTTCGTGCATGGGATGATGCTCAACCAACAGTTTTTAATTTTTATGTAGTTCATCTCTTTTTTCTTTTGTTGCCTGTGCTTTTGATGTCTTACCCAAGAAATCATTGTCAAGTCCATCATAAAGCTTTTGACCCTCTGTTTTCTTTTTTTATTCTTTTCTTTTTCTTTTTCTCTCTCTCTCTCTTTTTTTTTTTTGGTGCCGTGACTTGGATCCGAACCTTCCCCCTCTCTTTTCTTGTAAGAGTGTTCTAGTCTTAACTCTTCTGTTGGGACTTTGATCCATGTACTGCATAATTTGATATTTCAGTTTTTCCTGTTTCTATTTTGGCAAGTTAATTCATGCTTGGAAGGTGGTGTGTGTTTTTTTAGTCTATGTTAAGTGCAACTATAGATAATGAAGCTTCTCTTTTATTTACCCCCTATAATTCCTTCATCTTTGATTTTACTCCTTCAATCAAAAGAAGAGACAAGAAGATTCTAGAACAGTGAAGAGGTTGAATCAGACTCATCTATAAACCTAAAAATTCAGGCATATTTAGGTTAATTATGAATTGGGATTATCTATATTTTAGTGACTTTTAGTTAAACCAAAGTGTTCCTACACTGACTCCTAAAATTTTTTATTAAAATTTGACCATGAAGGACTAGCCAGTAGATTTCTGAAAGAGATTTATAATTGATAGGAATTTTTAGATTTACTTGATAAAACAGAAGGCCTTTAGTTTGCCTACATTTAATTAGCAAGGGGATAGAATTGAAAATTTAATTATATTTATATTTTTTTAAATAAAAATGTTTGTTTTTAAGGTCTATAGAAGAAAGCTTTAATTTATCAGATGAAAGCTGTGGCCCTACACCAGGAATTGTGAGAAAAAAGAAGATTGCAATTGGCGTAATCTTTTCATTATCCAAAGATGAAGATGAAAATAACAAATTTAATGAATTCTTTTTTTCACATTTTCCTCTCTTTGAAAGCCACATGAACAAATTAAAGAGTGCAATAGAACAGGTAAGCATAGTCATGTTGTTGGTTTGTTTATATCCTTTATTTTTCTTTGAATCTTATTCTTCTGCTTAAGCATTGTGTTTATTTATTTGACACAAAAATTAACAGGTACTGTGCATATACCCTGCAAACTGTTCTGGGAGATGCAAAAAAACCTTAACTCTTTAAGGAGCTTACTGCCTAATAAAAGACCTAAGGGCATTCATCCATTCATTTAATAAATATTTGAGGGCCTATAATGTGTCAGGCACTATTCTAGAAACTGGAGATAAGATCTGAAAAAAGTGACACTCCTGACCTCATGGGACATAAAATAAACAAATGAACATATAAGCTACTAGATGGGATTAAGTGCTGTGGAGAAAAATTAAACAGAAGAAGATTTATAAGAAGTGATGGGTGGAAGGCTTGGTAATTTTTAGAGACTAGTCTGAAAGGCTCCTGATAAAATGACATATGCTCCAGAAATATGAAGGAAATGAGCTACAACTGTCTGAGAGGAGAATGTTCAAGGCAGAGGCAAAGGTCCTGTGTTAGGAGTAAGCCTGATGCTTGATCAACAGGAAGGAGGCCAAAGTGGCTGGGTTAGAAGGCAAAATATTATAGGGCCTTATAGGATTCCATTGTAAGAGCATTGTCAATTACTCTTAAGAGCGATGGGAGACCATTGGGGGGTTTGAGTGGAGGAATGACATATGTGAGGATCACTCTAATGCTGGTGGAGAATAGATTTCTAGGAGCAAAGATAGATGTTGGTAGGATCAATTAGGAGGTTATTGGCATAATCTGGGTAAGAGATGATGGATACTCAAACCAACTTAGTGGTGAAATTGTTGAGAAGTGGTTGGATTCTGGACATATTGAAAATAGAGCTAATGAGATTAGCTGATGGGCTGAATTGGGGTGTAAGAGAGCAATAGAGGTTGACTCAAGAATTTTATTTGAGCAGTAAGAAGGATGGACTTACCAGTACTCAAATGGGGAAACTACAGGTAAAACATATTTGGCAGATGAAGATCAGGGGTTTGTTTGAGATGCCTCCTGGACACCCAAATGGTTTTCTATAAGTCTAGAATTTAGGGAAAAGGTCTGGGCTGGACATTCAGGAGAGAAGAGAGGAGCAGAGATCCTAGGCCTGATTTGTGGAGCATTTCAGCAGTTAACATTTGAGAAGAGACTGAGGATTGGCCATTCAAGTAGGAGGAAAAAGGAGAGAGTACTTTGGGGGGAGAGGGGCAGGGACCCAAGTGATGAAAATGATTTAAGAAGGCACAAGTGATCAATTGCTGCTGATAGTGTATAATAAATTTTCATAAAGTAAGAAAATTGTGAATACAAGATAGAAAATAAGGATACTAAAAAGGGAGAGGACAACAAGCTAAGCTTTTTTTAATAGTTCATAGGAAAGAAGTGGCAGGCACTATTCTAGAAACTAAAGATAAGATGTGAAAAAAAGTAACACTATTGGGATGATGTTTCATTTGGGCTGCATCTTAAAGCAGCGGTCGCCAACCTTTTGGACTTCGCGGACCACCAGTGGTCCGTGGACCACCGGTTGGCGACCTCTGTCTTAAAGGATATGTAGGATTTTTTTAAACAAAACTTCAAAAATTAGATATAGCAGAATAGCAAGAAAAACTGATATCCTTGCCACCCAAAGATAATTCATTAATGTTTTGCTGAAAGTCTTGTCCAGGCCTTTTCTATGCATATTGTACTTTCACTTGATTGGGATTGTGCTGTGTCCAAATTGCTTTAATTACATGCATATTTAAAAAAAACTCATAATTGTAACACATGCCTTTTTCTTGTCATTATAAATTGTTCTTAAATATATTTTAGTCACTTTCCTTACCATAAGTAACAAATTTTCTATTAGGCCATATCTACTTTCTCACAATTATAGCTACAGTATAGTTAACACATTGGTGAATTTTCCAGATTATTTTTCAGAAGAAATTCCCAGAAGTTGAACCAGTGAATCAGTGGGTATAACTAAAGTTCTTAATCCCTGTGACAGTATGCAAAAAGGAGATGGCTGGAAGAGTTAATGGATACAGATCTCAAAGAATCTAGAATGCTTGAGAGAAGTTTTGACTTTGTTTTTAAGGCTGTCTCCAAATTGTGCTTCAGGAAGATTAATTTGGCAGCATGTTTAAAAGAGACTAGAGTAAAAAGGCTGGATATGTAAAGACCAATTAGAGTAGTCTAGAAAGCAGAGGGTGCATTTCAGTAACTTAGTAGTGACTAAGAATCATCTGCCTCTAGAGAGGACAATGATATTAGTTATTCACATTAAATCTGTCAAAAGACAAATAGGTCATTAGCAATGCCTTCTTTTTTTTTTTTTTTTTTTTTTTTTTTTTTTCACAAAAATGAGTAAAGGCCATTTTCACCTTTTCAGAAGTTAGGCACTGGTGACATTTTCTTTAGTCAGCTTCTCTCTCTTTTTGTAGTCTGTTGTTGCCAAAGTCAATACATAATATTTAGCTATGGTTGAACTGACCTTTTAAGTTAATGGGAGATGTGTTTCAAGCTTTGTATAAAACTTGGAGTATAGCACTATAGCACTCATTATGGATGACTTTTCAAATGTTTAAATGCTTTGACCATCTTTAACTTAAAGTCAGTCAGTCTGTGTGTCTGTCTGTCTGTCTGTCTATCTATATATCTATCTATCTATCCTATGTAATAAAGAGGTAATATACAAATTGACTGTCACACCCTCTCACTAGATGGCTACCCCCATGTGGTCACAAGATGGCTGCCACAAGATGGTCAGTAGGGGAGGGCAGTTAGGGGGGACCAGGCCTGCAGGGGAGTGCAGTTGGGGGGGACCAGGCCTGCAAGGGAGGGCAGTTGGGGGCGACCGGGTTGGCAAGGGAGGGCAGTTGGGGGTGATTGGGCCGGCAGGGTAAGGCAGTTGGGGGCGATTGGGCCAGCAGGCGAGGGCAGTTGGGGGCAATCGGGCCGGCAGGGGAGCAGTTAGGTGCCAATCATGCTGGCAGGGGAGTGGTTAGGGGGTGATCAGGCTAGCAGGCAGAAGTGTCTAGGGGCAATCAGGCAGGCAGGCAGGCAGGCAGGCGAGCGGTTGGGAGCCAGCAGTCCCAGATTGTGAGAGGGATGTCCGACTGCTGGTTTAGGCCCGATCCCACTAAACCGGCAGTCGGACATCCCCCGAGGGGACCCAGATTGGAGAGGGTGCAGACTTGGGCTGAAGGACACCCCGTCCCCTAGTGCATGAATTTTGTGCACTGGGCCTCTAGTCCTGTCTAATAATAGAGAAACATGGTAATGAACTGTAACTTCGCTACCCTTCCCATTGGCTAATCAGCGAGATATGCAAATTAACTGCCAACCAAGATGGCGGCCGGCAGCCAGGCAGCCGAAGCGAACAGGAGGCTTGCTTGCTCCAGTGACGGAGGAAGCCAAGATTCCCGCCTGCCGCCGCCGGCCTCTGAGCTGCTCTCTAAGCAACTATGTTGCAAATATAGAAGCTAAACAAAACCCAGAAACCTGCTTCAGTCGACTGGGATCTCAGAGCTGGAGTCGCAACAAAGTTTCAAATACAGAAGGTAAACAAAGCCCAGATACCTGCTTTCAGCAGCCGAGGTCTCAGAGCTGGAGCTGAGCCTC